AAGCAGCTTTTGCAATCATTACTGCAGACTGGAAGTTGGGGGCCCTTGGCACCCAGACGTTTATGCCATTTCTGAAGTTACAGGTCTCAGCCAAACCATGGACAGTGGCATCAGAAGGGACTGTACGCAAATATAGAGGGCAAAGACTGGAATAGAGGGTGTGGCTTAGAAAAACAGGAAAGGAACCATCTTTTAGAGGAGGAAAATTGGACTGGCAGACGTCTCTACTGCCCTGGAAGAGGGACTGATTAGGAAAAAAAGAAGTCCTTCTGCAATTTACGGCTCTGTTTTCCTCTTTTGGCAACTTGGAGTTGCATGTTTTTGACAAATTTCCCTTAATTTCTTCTTTTAAGTTAATGCTACCGTTAAATTGACCTCTCTGTTGCATCACTACCTACTGTATTTTGGGGGGACTTTTTCTTAAAATTAGATATAAAAGAATTGGGTACATTGACAAATGATTAATTGTTTTTATACAATTCAATTCATGCTCCTATCTGTTTCGGTTAGAAAGTTGTGACAAAATCAGTGCGTTTTTTTCAAGTTTTCTCAAAACGACAAAAATTAAGGGGTATGGGTTGCGGCCCGGACTCTCATTTAAGACTGAAGTTCAGGATTTCTTTTATATTTGGCCTGACTATGTGAAAATGAATTTTCTGTGATCCTGGTTGGGCTTTTTCAAATATCTCTCTCCGATTTCGAAAAATGCAGTTTCAAGTGCTTCAGTTGATGCGAAAATGCAAAAATGAATAGATTTAAGCAATAGCTATGACGTTATCCTCAATATCTCTTCAGAGGTTTCAAGTATAAAAAAAAGCATACCCAGGATCACAGATTTTATTGCTAGTGTGCTTATGGGAAAATATAAGCACTTTAGTCAATAAACTGATTGAGCGAGAGCGCGGGCCGGATTGAGTCAAAATTGCTTCTGTACCCCCAAAACATGAAATATTTTCAAATTCCTTAAAGAAAGAATACATTTTGATATTTGATATTCAGTTTGAACTCCTAAAGTGTTTTATAATCAGTTTGAATGATGCTGGAATGTGTTAATAACAAAGTTAGAAACATTAACTGCCACCTACCCTTAAAGTTCAGTCTTCTTTCATTTATATAGATCTGTAATATAAACGAAAATTCGAAAGGCAATGCAAGTTAGATAAACAGTGGGGTTTTTTAATGTTTGATAAAGTGACTACCAAATTTTAAACCAATATTCGATGATATTTTATTCAAGCTGATATAGGCCTACATCTAGATCTAAATCTGAGTGTTTTCCGATATTTGGTTGTATTGTTGTAGATCTATCATTATGAGAATTAAAATTTGGTGTCCACTGTCCACCCGCTGTGTTTATCTGGTGTGCTGCTAGGCTACAATGTCTGGACGGAAAAAGGAATTCCCACACGTCGATTGTGCTAATTAAATTGAAGGAGGGAAGTTTAGCTGCACCTGACAAGCCATTTTATTATTATGATGACCCATTAGAACAAATGATTATTTATTTCGAGAAAAGGTGTGACTTAATGACCTGAACGCGCTTCGCAGCGAAGTTTTTCAGTTCTTACTAGCCTACTTTGCTTACAGAGGGATAGAAGTAGAAGGCGAATATAGTGCACGGAGTAATTTAGGCATTTTTTTATATTTCAGGATATATTTTACCGGAAGTGCAATGCTAAAACAACTCCAAGTATGGTATAAAATGTAATCTTCCATTGTTGCAAAAGCGGAGTAAAATAAAAACTTCAAATTTTGTTTCGCACCATTAATACTATTGCATTTGAAATGGTTCTCAAAACATGAATTCCACAAGCATTGGTGTGTCCCGTTTACAAAAAGTAAGACAGACTTGCTTTTATAATTGTCTCAGCTCATGGGATGCAAGTCTCTTGAAATCTGTAGAAACCATCCGTTGGGATTTTTTATTCTTATATTTATTAAGGAAATTTCTAGAATACAGAACAGGCGTTTAAAGATATTTATCTGTTAGGACAAACTGATATAAATCAATGCACAAAAGTTGAAGAATCTATTGTCGACAGTTGAGGAGAATTCTGACGGTGATATATATTTTAGAGCACAATGGAGTAACGGACATAAAAAAAGAAGGAGAGATAAGAACAACCATTATTGGAAAGAAGGAGCAAACCACATCTACAGAGCACCTGCACTCTTGAACTTGGGTCGTTTTGTGGAGTTTTCAAAACCCTCAACCTATTTGTCTCGGTCCTTTCGAAGACGACGTTTAGGGGGGGGG